AGCTTTGCGAAAACAGTCAAATTCGATGAGCAAATGGCCGCTCTTCGAGACGCTTTTGCGAAATACGGGCCAATATTCAAGAAGACAGTTATGGGAAGAACGATAGTCTTCTTTGGGAACCCAAGCGATGTAGAGGCCGTCTTCAAGGGAGATGGAAGATTTCCCGTACGATCTGATGATCTTTTTAAACCCCAGAGGGAATACATGAACAGCAGGAAACTACCGGAGGGTTTGGCGAGCTTGTAAGTAAATTAGAATAAAAAAGAAACTTCCCAACATGTAGTTAGTTGGGTTCGCTTTGCTTTATTTATATTAATCAAAGATATACTGTAAAATGTCTTTGTAAGGCCATTCGTCGCTTGGCAAAGCGTCCGCCAACATTTCATGACTCTTCACGACGAATAAATTAACTGTTTGAATGTCCGGAAATTTGTCCAGTGAGGAGTGGATCGGAACATCTTTTATTCCGGAATATCCGGGGAAGAGGACAACCTCGTGGTTCTCGTTAGGTTTTTCCACATTTTGGAAAATTTTTTACCGAACATTTCTGTTCCCACATATTTCCCTCGCAGAACTTCGGGAATTCTTAGTTGACGGGTTCGCTCGCGATAGCTATGGAACAATTTTCAAATTTTCCGAAAACTTTGCAAGCTAAGGCAATAGACCAATTTCGATATATTAAAATCCAGCCTAAAACAATAGACCTCAGTACGAGGCTCTGGTGAATGACTACAGAGTTTGTGGAATTTTAATATATCAAAATTGGTCTTTTTAAGGTGGTCTTATACTCGAGTCAAAACTATTTTTTTTAGAAAAAAAAAAGCAGCTTTGTGAATTGTGGGGCAGTTTTGGTACCACGTACCAGGCAGGGAGAGGGATACCTAGAAAGGTTTCCTTGACATAAATGTTCCATTGAATAACCGAATAGGCACCGGTCATAGATATGTTAATCAAGTATAAGGGGCGCGTAAGGTGGTACAGGAAAAAAAGTTCAGGACCATGATGCAAAATTCTTATAAGTTCATATCTCTATGGCTTTCCTGCAAAGTATAATTAACATATACTGAATTGAGTCCATTTTGTAAGTACTTTTGGACTGTAAGCAGCTGTTGCTATAGGCGTTGCTATGTTAAAATATAGCTACCAATGTGCATATTTCTTCATGATTTAAACGTAAATCAAGGAGTAACTAGAGCAAAATTGTTTCAAAACCCGTTTTGCAAATGGTCGGAAATGTTGAATTTTCATGTTTCGGAAAAAATGTTTTTTTTGGAGAACAAAATTCTGGAACAACTTAATTTTTCTTTTCCAAATCGCTATTCAATTCGCTCTTAATCTGCATCGAGGATAGTCCGATTATAAATGTTCAATCCGTTTTGAACATTTTTTGTGATTAGTTTGCGAGAGACTTTTAGTCTTGACGCATTCTCACTTCGGCTACTGCACTGAGGGAGGGACGTCACAAATGTCTCCTTAAGGAACGCTGTTGAGTTGGCAGCACTAGCTCGGATTTTGTTCTTTATTGTTGTCATGCAGAACGGATGGCGAGAAGTGGAGCCGATTACGAAAGGCTTTAGCGTCCAAGATGCTACGACCTAAGGACATACGCGAGAATCTGGACAACTTTAATAGCGTTGCAAGAGATGCTATAGAGCGCATGGTGGCAATCCGAGGAGAGGATGACGTCATTCCAAATCTTGAAGGAGAACTAGCGAAGTATGCTACCGAATGTAAGCAGGAGTAATTAAATTCAATTGCGCACCTGTATCCGGGCGGAGAGGCTTGGCATATACTCTTGTTGAATTTTTTCGGATAAACACCCTCGAAAATGCTTCTTTTTCTGTCCTAAACCTTTTGGTAACTCTAAGTGTATTTTGTTTAGCAAGCATCCAAATTGTCATTAACACAGGATGGGCCAATCAATGTTCCGATCATTTCTTTATCTAGATGCACTCGCACCCAGAGTTTTTACCTCACTGGAGGAGCCTTGATATTATCACCACGACAGGGTAGTTGTAATTGCCAGGTCAATCCCGGGACACGTTCAAAATTGCGACCTGATTCATCTGACGGACTTGAACACTGTGCTTCAACAAATTGTTTTTCAATTGCATATTGTGAAAATACGGGTGTAGTGATCAGATTTGTAGGCCCAAGCCTACGGACCAGAAGGCTAACAGCACACCCGTCAGCCTTCCTTTCGTTTCATTTCAAGCTGGTCTCAAATTATAATCAAACTCTTTTCTTCGGTTAATGACCCCACCATTGTCCCAGCGTCAATAAACCGCGCGCCCTGGTTTCCGAAGGTCATGTGTAACTCAGTGGTCGAATATAAGTTAAGAGTATTTTTTTAAACCACGAAGTTGAATTTCTAAATTAAATAGATCATTGACTGATCGACCCATGCACTGAGCTAATACTCCAAGCTATTTGCTGCGTTGGGAAAGAAAGGTGACGAGTCTTAATTGTCTGATTCCTTACTACTTTTGTCAATTCTTATTTTTTCGTGTCTTAGCTGTGGGAACAATGGCGTTTGATCTAAGGGTTGGATTGTATGAGGATCCACCCAACCAGGATATAATCAAGGTCATTCAAGCTACTTTTGACGGTTTCAAATACCTTGGATATTTGAATAGAGGATGGGAAAGCCAACTTTACAGATTCGTGACAACGCCGTCCTACAGAAAATTCTGTAAAACGCAAGACACCTTGTTTAGCATTGGTCAAAAGATTGTGGACAAGAAGGTTGCTGATTTGAAAAAATTCACAGAAGAGGGTGACGAATTTGTTGAGAATCAAGGTAAATTATCAAGAGAAGTGTCTTACAATAATATTTTTTGCTTTTAATCCCTTGCATATTATTTTTGGAAAGTCTTTAAATGTAATTATGTTTGTTGTAAAGTAGTATAGGTATACCCTTTTCTCTTGACATTTTAGTTGAGTTTATCTATTTTATCTAATGTATGCATATAGTTGCTAAAGACTTGACCATATCAATCCGCCATTTATATTCGAAATCAGATTCTTCGAATCAAAGACGCCTCAAACGTTTTCCATCCTCAGTACCGTTTTTCATGTTTTCTACGCTAAAACGAGGAAAACGATGCGCAGTGTTCTACTTGATCAATGGCTGTGAGTGACTGGTCTAAGATCACGTGATCATCTTGACGTCAGCATCGTGTTTGCCGTCCACACTAAAACAGAAAAATAGCTTTTGTATTCATTGTAGCGAGCGTGAGGATGGCAGGTCTCATCGTATCAAAATCATGGCACGTTAGAGTGGAGATGCGTTAGTGTGAACAAGGACGAAATAAAGCGCAACAGATCAGAATGACAAGAATGTTAAAGGATTAAATAACTCATAGCCGGGTTGTTCAAAGGACGATTAAGGTAACCCAGGATTAGCGAGAATTTTGATTTGACTTTTGTAACTTTGCGGTGAGGTTTTCTGTTTATGCTGTTTGTCCTTCAGTTTTGAGTTTAACAATCTCAGACTACACAAAACATAAGCAGAAAAAAACATTTTTCTACAAGAAAAAGTTATACTTTGGTTAACTTTTAATCCTGGGTTAGCATTAACCGGCTTTTGAACAACCCAGCCCTGATCCGCTTCTCCAATGTTAACGGAAATCGCTTTCTTTAATTTAATCCACCAAATGTATTCCAGTTGACTGTTCATGCTTTAAGGGATCGAACTAACCCTATCTTGTCTTATCATCAGTGAGGTCGATACAACACAATACTCAAATGCAAAAGTTCACATAATAATAAGTAATGCGATATCTTATGGAAAGGGGTGTTCCAAGAGAACGAAACAAAAATGCAAGAAAGCAGGGAACCTGACCCTGCCCATGAACTGATTATAAAGCAAAGGTTTAGGAGACGAATTTCAGACTACGGAGTACTCGAATATCTCCCTAGCTTTGATCTTAGGATCGTTTATATCTTCTTGCACTGCAGCTGTACCTCTGTTGACGTACCTCATCCTAAAAGGAGAACTCACACCACAGGAGATTAACGTCAATTCCATTTTTATGTTTAGAGCAGGAGTGGAAACGGTAAATACCGTCAAAATATTTGTACTTGTTCGTTCATAACTTGTACTTCACTGTCAAGGTAATCCCTGTCAAGTGTCGGAAATCCCAGAAGGGTCTGGAAACAAGCCATTTCTCTGACGCGGATTTTGCTCACATGCAGAATCTAAGCGGCTTTACACGCATTTTCACCCTCCACGAGAACATCCACGCGTTACGCGCGTGGTAACATTACCCGTGAAAGAACTCGGTAACATATCTTAAAGAAACTTGAGCTGTGATAACTCTGGGAAAATTGCCTACAAGGAGGATAGACTTCCTTTGCCCTTATCCTATCCTGGTGGTTATCCCATCCCAGTCATTACACACTTAACGTCGCAAACGGACACGGACACGGCAACGAGAACGTCGCCTACCCAAAGTGTTTTTAAATAAGTAGAATAATGACTATGCACGTCGCCAAAAAATAAAGATCTTTTAAATGAGCAGAGCAATGGCTGTGCACATGCTGTTATAAATCTTGGTACCTTTTTTAGACGTCCTCTACAAAACAACAACGTGAAATTACAGAGTTCTACGTAGTTTGGAGAACGTGGACAACGACGGCTAATTTTTAATTTTCCGAATTTCGTTTTTCATTACTTATTTAGCTCGAACGATAGGCATACTAATAAACAATCAAAATAACGACCTGTAACCTGCAACGTTCTTTGTGCCCAAACTTTCTTTGTTTTAACAACGTTTGTAATGATTTTTGCTTTCAAAGACATCCACAAGTTTGCTATTTCTTCTTTACGATTTGGCGCGTTATCCTGCGGTGCAAGAGAAAGTGTATGAAGAAGTTACCTCCCTGATTGGGCCCCATGGAGACTTCACCCCGGACACCTTTGCAAAATTGGATTATCTAAAGGCTTGTGTCAAGGAAAGTATGAGGTAATAAGTGAAATTATCAATTGAGCCGTTGGTGTAATGATGAGTTTACTGTACTCGACCTTCTGCATTTGAGTGCTAGTAAATCCCACTGCTTACACAATCAGTAGCTTACGGATGCTACGTGGTAATCACGTGTTTGTTTTCTCCAACCAGGTTGCATCCAGCAATCCGTTGGGAACGCCGCCTGACCCAAGATGTCGTGCTGTCCGGTTACAAGGTTCCGTCAGGGGTGAGTGCTCCAGCCGATGGTTTGCTCAATTGGGCATGATTCGCCTAAAAATTATCGTAGACAAACTGGACGAATTCGTCCAACTCCAGGAACAAGATTATGCGAACTCCGATTAGCTTGGCCCCCGATTAGGGAAATTGTCACAGCAAAATATGGTAAACAGTTACTTTGACAGATCTGCCATTTTTGGTGATAATTTTGCCTGTTAAGAAACCATTCCATTGATAACTGCCTCAGTGAGTCAATAGCTTGCTTGTGAGCATTGCTCGGGTCCTTCAAATTTAACGCTAAAACATGTGCCCTTAATCAATATGAAGCCTTGGTAAGCTTTGACACACCTTGCCAAGTACGTCGGCTATTCCATTCAATGCATACGCAAATCTGCTAAGCGTTTGGAAGGTTTCTTTCATATGACAACTGAAAAGGACTTGCAGCTTCCAGAGCCCAGAGGAGTTTCATGGCTTGCTAATCGTACCATGCCTTGCAATGTGTTCAGGGTTGATATTTTTGGAGCCCCATCACCAACTGTATGCGTTCATGTTAATGAAACAAATGTTGTAAGCAGAGATTCCCCGCTGATAAAAAAGAAAATCATAGTTGCTCGCGGGATGTTACATGGAATGCTTCCACAAACCATTGAATAACTTACTAGCATCTATCGACTTCAATCAATTAATCTTTCAATC